CCCGCCCTTTAATTATACTGTGATACAGTTTATTTTAACTTCCTGGTAACAGCACAAACAGGAGAGGTAATGATAAGAAGTGATTAAATAACAGGACCTTTGCACTTGATGACACAGTGCAGGGATTTTTATAGTCGACTGTTTATAAATGCCTGATTTTTTTATGGCCGAGCTAGTTTGTTCACAGGTCACTAAAAGTGCTCTATAAACATCTGGCCCCTGAACCAGCCGAGGTCCTCGACTCTCTGTGATGAAGCAGCAAATATGTCTCCTCAGCGCATAAAGCAGAAGCCAAAACATAATTGAGAAACATGTGGTGGCGCCATATAACCCCAAGCCCTCGCCATATTTTCATTTTCAACCAAAAACTGGTAACATTACTCTGTTAGTTCAGTTTTGGTCTCCACCCAATCCTGAAAAAATATTGTAGTTATCTTGACACTGTTGGCTTGTTTCTTAGCAAAACTTGTACTGTTAATGGTTTTTTTTTTGCTCTTCATTAGCTTCAAGTCACTCAAGCAACTACATTTCCCCTGTGGACACCAATAAAGATTTCTCTTATCTAGTCTTGGTTAGTCTGTTTGATGCTGGCAAGTGGGTTGAAGACACAGCTGAGACTGAATGAACATGTCGAATTCAGGAGGAAAAACCTGAAACCACGACCTAAAACAGGCTACACGTTTTCTCAAAGGCAGGTCATTTTTTGGCTGAAAACTTATGGCCTTCAAACTGCACTCAAGAAGGCCATCGTAGATAAACAGATCTAAAAAGGAGATAATATTTAATCACATTAAACTTAGAGCCATAAGGTCAATGCAGACACCACAAGATCATATCCACACAAAGCCAGGTAATCCCATATATGGATATTTTCTTTTTGCATTGACCCTCCTGTTAAATAGTTAGAAACATAGCTACCAATGGTTGCAACAGTGCTGCATTTTATTGTCTTCTTGAACTAAATCAATAGAAGGGGAAAAAAAGAAAAACGCTGCTGTGGGTTGGTTGTTTTTGTTGCTTTGTGCCAACACCATTGAAATATACTCGCAATTCTACAACAGGAAGCCACTGAGCAAATTCACATTTTTACAAGCCAGCTGAAATGAGGTCATACTGCCAAAAACTGAGCTCATCCAGAGTTTTCACACATCTAACTGGGGTGTTATGGAAACTCCTCCACCTTTATAAGTGTATGTTCTGAGGTAAGCCATGAATTCTTAAACTCCTTGTAAATTTGTTGGAATAAAAAGGCTAAATAAACACTCATCACTGAAGGAAATGTGACCTATCATCAACCTCAACCCAAGAATACTGGCATCATGTATGTTTGTCTAATCCACAGTGCAAAAGAGATGACTCAGAAACTGAGATGGCATCTGTAAAAACCAATATGAGAGGGACTAAAAGCAGTTTAAATAGCAACCTACCCTTGGCTGACGTAGTCCCAGTTTGCTCTGATAAAGTTCCAGGCCAGCGCCTGCCCCGCTGAGTTCTGGGCTATGTAGTAAATTGTAGAAGCGACGTCCATCAGACGTATCTTCTCAGGGTCCAAAGTGTAATCAAGGTATCTGCAAGATAAGGAAGGCTCTTACTGGAAACCTAATGAATAAAACCCATGTGTATTGGGAACTGCTTTATTAAAACAGTTTACACATGTGGCATACACTTTAGGATTTTATGCTTTACCTGCTGAGCAACCAGATCTTCTTGGTGCAGGACAGAGCACGACGGAGCTGCTCTTTCTCCGAGGTGTTGCTGGAGGTCTGATACATGTCCCAGGCAAATTCCCACTCTTCCTTCTCACCAGCAGCCACAGCTTGGCAGTAGATTTCAGACCGCAGGTTTGGGTGGATGCTGAATCACACACACACACTTTATTTTTCCTATTTCAGGACCATCTAATTTTCACATTTTTTTCTTTGTGCTGGACGGCTGACATCACATGTTTTTGCTTCAGAAGGAATCTCATCAGCAGTATAAGAAAAAACTCTACCCGCCAAAATAAAATGCAGTCCATTATACTTTATAGAAATGGCTCATCAGTATAGTAGACTGTGACCATTGTCAGTTTATGTATGTGGTTTATATATCGATGTTTACAGAAGTCACAGAAAATGCTCAAATTATTGACGTTGTTGACAATTGAAAAAGAAGACATCCAATGGCATGGTCCAACATCTGCCCACCCATCAAAAATTCAATGAAAACACAACACTGCTAGATTTTTTAAGATTTGGAAAAGTCCATATGCTAAAAGAGAAAATGTCCCCTGATGTCTAAATTAGTTTGAAAAGTGAAATGATGTCCCATCCATCCAGGTTCTTAAGGACTTCTTCAACTTGTGTTATTGAGGTATCCTGGCAGAGCCGTAGAGACAGACAAATCACGAATCATGCTCATTTCCCTACCTCCACAAATACCACTGGTAGAGACGCCGTGCAGAGCAGCAGATTCAAACCTACAGCCTTCTGCTTTGCAGCAACTGTGCTAACCACTGCAGTAACATGCAGGCCAAGAATGCGGGAGCGATAAAGCAAATATAAACCACTTTGAGCTTTGGCTATTTAATTCTTTCTGATACAAAAAGCTGTTGTTATGGAACATGAAATCTATTAACTGGGATAAAATAATCTGAAGGCCATTTATTGATCTTGGAGGCACAGCTACATGCAAGACCTGTTTTAGCCTCTTTTATAGTCTATTTGTATCCCATCATAAATGTCTGAGTTGCATGATAAAGGAAATATGGTATTCATGTGTATCCACATCTGAATTATATTCCCATTTCATGTTCATGTTTTGCATGGTGAAAATATTTATTTCGACCTCTTGACTTTCAACACCCCCAGATTAAAAAGACAAAGTGTGCTTAGCGGTTTTACAGTAAGTGATTAAGTTGAGAGCTTAAGTGCTGGGTTCACTATACTGGAGTCATGAGTGTGAGACGAGTGTCTGTTTGTCTTTCTGCAGTCTTGCTTTTTAATATAGTGATATAGCAAAAGAAACTGACAGAATGTCTAAGTCTGACATAATTAAATCTAATTAAATCTCATTTTATCCTTGATGTACTCATTTTAGATTGAAGTTGTTGTCACATCTGGCAAAGTCAGACATATACACGGCCCAAGTGAGCATTTTTGGACAAAATAAAGGCTAAAGAATATAAAAGAATCCATGGATGTCAGACTTTGGTTACTATTCTGTGACTTCTCTGAAGATGATTTTGATTTTCTTGAACACAAGATAACAAATCCAGAATATGCCCCCCCCCACCCCGCCCTAATTTATAATGTGTATACAGTATAACATGGAGCATACATATCCACACAGTATTGCAGTCAAGCACAAAGGCATTTCCACATTGAAGTAACAAGCACATGCAGTGAACGTATTTAACTGTAAATAAAAGATAGACGTACCCTCAAAGCTTGTTGTATAGGAAATCGAAGGTCCTACAAATATTACAGAGAAAACCCCAGCGATCAGACAATCCCTTATGAACAAACACGTGGAAACATGGAAGGAAGAACTCCTTTTTTTACAGGAAGACACCTCCATCAGAAGCAGGCTTGGAGAGGGGCAGCTATTTACTGCAACCAGTTTGGGGTTGAGAGAATACACTGTCTGCTTTACCCCGACACTGCAGATGAGTGTCGTGTTGTTCCTTAGGTTCTTAGTCAGATCCACGCCTCAAGGTCCCTAACCAATTAGTGATGTCATTGTGGCTACGTCCATCCTTTATATACAGTCTTAGTCCCAATTTTTTAAAGTTGCACTTGGAAACTTTTCAAAAATGCAAGCTGTAAGCGCACCAGAGCACTTGTTTGGGAAAAGATGTTGGAATTGAAAATTAGAGTGAGATTGCTTGAAAATCCCACCAAGTGCAGCTTTACCAACATCCACAATGCACAGATACCAACAACTGACATGAAAGAGGGATTAGATTACACATACCTTTACTAAATCATTACCGGAGAGCAAAGCTACAGAATATATGGAAAGCTAATACAGTTAGATGATCATTGGATAATTCCAGAAAGTGTGACACAGAAAACAAAGATACTTATTCTAGAAAAGTCCACACCTGTTGGTATTGTTGCTCTCCATCCAGGCGGCATACTTCTGCTTAGCCATCTCTACGCATTCTGGTAGTCCATTGGAACATGCCAGCTTTATGGCTAAGAGCTGGGTGTACCTTAGGATGAAACAACATTTTGTATGATAAATGCAAAGGTATGAAATGCCAGAGTGTTTCCAAATATGAGAATAATTTGGAGACAGGAGTTTTTTAACCCTTAAATGGACTCTTACTACTCATCTAACACTGACAGTTCTCTAACGAATTGTTTTACCAATGGTTTTGAAACCGAGAGGGCCTACGCGTTCATTGAAAGCTTCCAGTTTCTTTCTTTTATGTCATCTTTTGGTAGCACTTTGTGGTCTAGCCATACAGCCAGTGACTGCTCAGCATTTACCTGGTAAATGTTTCTAACTTGGGGCGTAATTTTCAGCAGCTGAATGTACTCTTAGTGACACTTAAAGTGCAGTTACAGAAGAATAAATGACTAACAAGTGGCAATTTCTAAGGAAAGGTGAAAATGATACCACTAAGACTAATTCTACCCTCATTATCACGTCGACCTATAATGCCATATTGTTGTGCCACATAAACAAAGATTAATTATCAAATAATCAGTTTACAGTTTATCATTCTTACTTCCAGCTCTACAGTTTTATTCTTTTTGGGGTATGAAAAAGGATGGCGAGCCAATGAACTGCTAGGAGCAGGACTCATTCTGCGATTGAAGCTTCCACTGGTTGGGTAGGAAGCTATCAAAGACGACGCTCTGTCCCCATTTTCCAAATACACTGATTTCTGCAATCATACACACCATTCCCCTCATTTGTGGACAATAGCGCTTGGACATCTCTCATGGACATTCAGACAAAACTCACGGCCTTCAGTGTGGATCAGTGGATTTGATGTTAACATGTGTTATTTATGGGGAACTGTTTTTTGAGAATCTGTATTGCTTGGTATAAGCCAGAAGAATTTGCTTAGTTGTCTTTGTGCACCCCCACTGGGTTTTTGATTAATTGAATAGCTGCAGCAGGAGTGATTATTTAAGTTTTCCTTTTCTTTTCTTGTTATTTTTCTTTGGGGTTTGGTTAAATACATGGTACCTGCAAAAGCATTTTTGTGTTGTGTGTATTTATTAATTACTGCCCATCAGCTCCAGTAGCATTCCTAAATCTTCTGATTAATAATAACCATAATATTTCACTCAATACCTAGCCTGTATTAATTCATTAGCGCTTCATCAGTGTTATATATACGTTACTAGAACAGTCCAGTTAACAGATATCCCCACTCTTTCTTTCTGAGACCTGTGTTTTTTGATGAAGTCATTATTTGAAACCTTGGCCGTGTTTAACATGAACATCCACCCCTGCAACAGTTTATATGAGATAAAAGCAGACCACTTTAAATGATCCTTGATGACACGAGAACTGCTTCCTTTAAAACGACACTCACAGTCCACACCACACATCTGTTACAGCACAAAGGCAAAAATACAAACTCACACATCTGCTTTTTATTAGCACCTTTGGACTCGAGTGTGATTTTATGAACCGTAAACTACATGCAAGCATGTGTAAATCTGTTGACGATTAACTCAGGATGAATTCCGTCTTAAAAATAAAGATCTTACTTACTGTAAGGAGTGATCGTTCTGTGGGACGCGGTCATCGTCCGTGTCGTTTTTGAAGACGTTATACAGCTCTCTAACCTGTTCCCGCAGGTATGTCTGCAGGAAGAGACGGCAGAGTTTCGGCAATGTATACAATATTTTCTGCACATTGTTCCAATTATTGAACATCAACAAAATCAGAAGATCACATTAAGCCTGTTAAATATAATAATATAAGACATCAAGGTTTTGTTTTTTTAAAGAAATACGTACAACTAGTGAAAACAGATGACAGATACCTGCATGGGTCCATACACCTCAGAGCGGTCAAACATGAGGATGAAGTACTCGAGATTCCTGACCGCTGACTCCCAGGGAAGAAACTCGGTCTCTTTTGTGAGGAAAAGGGTTGAATTCAGAGCCAGAGTCACGTTGACAAGTTTAGCCCTGATTAGAACAAGAGTGAGATCTCAGTCAGTACAGCCATTTATTCAAAATTCACAAAAAAGCAATATTGGAGCATCCACACACCGCCTGTGCTTTAGCCATTTTTATTTATACAACCTCCAATGGGACTGCTTCTACAATCACATTTTCTTACAGCTAAATGTTATGAAAAAATTAAGTCTCCACAATTTGGTTGGGACGTCTTTGGTTAGCATCAGATCAAATGGAAAATGTTTTTTTTTTAGAAATACTGCAGCGGCAAAATGTCTCAGACTTTATTTAAAGTGCCCGCTGTGACTTGTCGGGATTTGCCTGTTTAATAATTGGCTCTAACAAAACTCAACCCTATCCTGGACAGATGACCGGATGAGTAAAATAATGATGGCTGACAAATGTTGTTGTCTAAAGAAAATTATCTATTTGCATTTAACTCTCTGAGGTATGAGTTGAAATCACTGGCATGTCTAACCCTGAGTTTTGGAGAAAAACAAAAGGGCATTTTTGGGGGGAAAATGTAAGTAATGCCTGTAAGTTACAAGGATTTTTTATTTTTTACCCCGACTGCCAAGACTTTGGAGAACAGTAGGGTTAGAGCTGGGGATAACACCGATCATAACAAGAGCTCACAGGGTTAATGTCCAGCTAGCTGCAATAAGCAGCAGGGTGTCAATAGCGTGTGTTAGCTCTGTGATAGCGTGTCAGCCTGTCCAGGGTGTAGCCTACCATGACAGGCTCCAGCTAATCCAATATCTCAATAAACACATATAATATACTTCATTATCTCAAATAAATGCCTTCTCTAGAAACTGGAGCAAAGTAGCCACGTTCTTTGGTAAAATAAATGTCAAATAACATTTAATAATGGCTGTTTGGTTTGGAAGGGGGTTTGTGACTAATACTGAAAGAACAAGAGAGTTTTTCAAAAGGCCAGATCTAAATATTCAGCAAACCACTGCCTGATGCAAAGCTGCATGTTAAGTTAAGTGGACTTCTTAATGACGTTCTAGTTTCCTCTTATCGCTTAACATATCTAATATATTAATAGCACAGCATTATTATTTTTTTATTAAATGAACAGGTCACAGTCAGTACCTTGCCAAGTTAAATGCGTCATCAATAAGCTGCCCTCTGTTCAACAGCGGGATACTCTGGAAAAACACAAGAGTTTCAAAGTTAGAGAGCCACCGAGCGCTACTTCTTTCTTACCTGGGAGCTGCCATTTTAAAGTTAAAGACTTTAAAGGTTACTGAACGTGACTTTCCTTGCCATCTGATTCCCACCCACTAACCTGGAATTCTCTACTCCTGCTATCCCGTGTTTGTCCACAAAATTATTCTCCCTCCACCATTTGTTTTGTTCCCCAATCAGTGTCATAGGGAATTCAGGTATGTTTATGACAAGTGTTTAAGAGGAGTTGCCTTAGTCAGTGTGTGCTTTGTAGCAGAAACTGTAACAATAGTAACCCTTGCCCCGTTCGTTGCACTGGATGGAAAGTCACAGGCGTTAAGAAAGCTTTCTTTCTCTGCACCGCGAATTATTGATGACAGAACGTGAACAACTGAGTGGCAGATCAACCAGCCAAACAATCCGTGAACATGGTGACGACATTGCTGATACAACGACAGACTGGTACATCCAGAAAAAAGCAGGTTAGTTGTAAAAGTTATACGTGAGGCACAAGTAAGGCCTTTTTTGTGTAACTCAGGATCTACGACGACAAATGTTCGCTTTGAAGGATTGAGTTAACCTCTGAGCTTTTGGTTCAAGGCCAATTCTTGGTCTGGTCTACTTTGTTCAAACAGCATCTCTGGCTTACCCTCCAACACAATCTATCAAACTTCACTGTGTAATAAAGGAAGCAAACTTGGATGCTTTTATTGTTGCTCTTTAAAGCCTCTAGAAAACCTTTGCAGTCCAATGAATCTGCCTTCGACAATAAGTTATTTCTCTTCAATATAACCTTGTCAGTTTATATAAATGTTATTAGATTTTATTTTGATAATCAACCAATAACTCACAAAATCCCTGCATTTATTGCCTGGGATGGAACAAAGAAGCTTCAGAAGATAAGATGTCGTAATATTTCCAGTAAAAATCACCCAGTAAAATGTGTAAAACTGGAGTGGCCCAGTACTTACATGCCGATTCTTCTGCAGCTGAGCTAGAAGGCGTTCCCAGTTCTCTGGATTGTAATTGACTCTGTAGTATCCGATGCAGTTGATATTTGCCAGGATCCATTCACCATTCTTAGCTATGAAAGCTTCTTTGTTTACTGTTCACGAGACATCAATTAGTTGAAAATGTGTTAAATTTATTTGCGAGTGAGTAAAATGAAGCACTTGAATGGAGAAAAAGGAAACTTGACAGAGACTGAGACGAGACTTAAGAAGTAAAAACATGAAGACAACCAAACTGAAAGCAGATGCACTGTGTGCAGTCATTTTGCTTCTCCCAGATGTTTTTGTATCTCCGTTTTTTGGTTCGTATATCTTTGATGTCATTTTTGCAACTCTTTTACTCTTTGTGATAAATTCCCATTAACGCTTCCTTTTGTTCTGTATTTTTTCACGGACACATCAGGTGGCATTTGGGATTCGCATCTGTTTATCTGTAGTTGTTTTGATGCTTTTTTGTGTCTTGAAAGTCAGTTTGTATGATTAACTATTCTGACACTGTATGTGTTTGCAACATTACATGCACAAATGTCATTCAAATTCAGCAACACTAAGGATGATTAACGATGTATGTGATTAATGGTTTTCTATGCCTCCTAAAATATATGCAAAACATTTCTTTGGCCAATTTTTATTTTTGTGCATTTAAAGAAAATTCCATTCCAGGAATATCTAAAGCCTTTGTAGCTGATTTAAGAACTTTTGGGGCAAATAAACATTTCACTGAAAAATCTTGTGTTTTTTTTGTTTGTTTGTTTTTTTAACCAGTGGCTTGATTATGTCTCATCCCACATTAATAATAAAATAAAACATTATTCTGGTTCCCTTTGAAACAGAAGATGTAAAATAAAAAATACTTTGTGTTCTCCTGCATCTTACCTGGCTTGTTGTTATACAAATACACTTTCTCGAATTTAGACGACGCATTTGAGATGAACTCAATCTCCACTGTCCATGAATTGCTAAACAGAAAAAGAACAGGTAGATCTTACACTGGATGTAGTTTCACATGCCCCAGAAAATAAAGTGAGCAATAATTGTGAGTTTTACAGACTTTTTAAAGCTCACAAACTGAAAAGAAGCATTTTAGAGACAAAAACATGAGCATGAAATCTATTTTCCTTTGTGATAACCTAATCTGTGCCACTACCATGCCAGAGTCTCCAGGATCTGGAGGTATCCCAGTCTGGACCCTGTATGATTCATCATGGCAGCATCATGGAGTTCGAAGGCAAAGGCGCATCCAAAAGCAATGAAATCAGTTGTGGCCCAATACTTTGTTAACGATGTGAGTTATTCATTGAATAACTTGACTTTTTACCACAGATGGTTATTTAATCTGTATTATCATTAAAAGTGGTGCAAAATGTTAACTCAAGCTAGATGATTTTATTACAGATTTGTCTAGGCTGGAAAAAAAATAGTTGGTTTACACAAAGTTAGGTCAAGTTTGTAGAAAGATGTGGAAGACACCTACGAGGAATTGGCAGAGTTATTGAAGAGAAACTGCTTCTGGTAGACTTGTCCATTGGTAGTGTTGATGGTAATGACAGGATAGCCACTTTGGGTGGTCCAAGGGTTCATGAATCCAGCGATGTCATCAGTGTTGCGGACAGCTTTGTTACCGCGGTTCTGATTCGCAGCCTGCCAACATTAAACAAGCCAATGAATATCTTTCCATGTGCAGTCCAAACCAGATGTATTTGTAAATATGATTTATGATAACTGAATTCATTAGTATCTGAACATTTTCGAACCCTTTGCTTTAAAAGAGCTAAATATACCACGCAGGTCTTTGCTTTCTAAAAGCTGCTGTTTGGCATTTTAATGTGCTAGCCATTGTTTTAAATTAAATGAGCTAAAACACAGACCAAAAACTATGATTTGTCCAAAATACTTAAAATCTGGGATAAATACAATGTTGTGATTAATCCTCAGGCAATGAAAGTGTGGGAATGATTTTGATGACAAGGCACGCATAGAGTAAGCAACAGAAATTTGGCAGAATAAAACAGCCTGGATAATTTATCATCTTACCATTTGTATATACTTCAAGAGGTCATCCTTTTCTACGTTTCCATATTGAAAGGCCTTGAGATACATCTATGAAATATATGAAAGCAGAGCAAATCAGAACGATTGAGTAACAGTGGACACAGTTGCATCAGGCACAAAAAAAGAATTATTTTCCCGTGGAGCTGTTGGAATAAGAGCTGGGTGAAAAGATTCAATTGCAGCTGTGAGCAGTTGGACCTGAGGGAGATGTGATGTTGTAATAAATCTCTGAGTAAAAAACGTTTTAGTTTTTCCTTGTTTTTTTGTTTGTTTTGTTTTTAGTCTTCTGCCCGGATACACGTGAACATTCACAATGAGTTTGGTGTGTTACAAAAATGAAGGTTTGAACAGACGTTTAGCCTCTTCCTTGTATATCTGACAAGGAAAACACAACACCCTTATTCATTTTGCATGAGGCAGTGGAAAACACAAGTGGACAAAAACTGCGTGCCTTCCCCATTTCTGCAGACACGAACCAGATGTTGGAATGCTTTCGTTCAGAGCAGCACTGAGGGCTTTATTTTCAACATGTTCGATTTGGATGTATGACAGAAGCTGGTGTCTATTGATGGTAAAAAAAAAAAAAGTTAACCTCTTCGAATACACCAGGTTACCTGCAACCTGTCGAGGGTTTGGGATTATTTTAGCCACATGATATACAGACAAGTTTTATGAAACTAGAAAGTGTTGCCTTTCAAATGAAGCCTGATCCATTTTGGAATTACAACTTTATGTTATTATTATTTTTTCGGTTGTTTCAAAAGTTTCCAAAGATCATTTTACACGACTAAACTGAAACAATACACAGCTGGATCAAAGACTGTATTCAAAGGATGGGCGTAACCACTGTGACACCACCCACTGGTTTTGGAGTGCAGATTGTGATGCCTTATTAGCATTTTGGCCACCACCGTGTCTTTTTTTCTTTTTTTAAATGCAGAAGTTACCATATTTGGATCAAAGGCTGGAGTGCTAAGTTATCAGCTAACACTTGCAAGCTTTGTTGCTAAGCTGCATTCATAAATTCCACCCATCTATTTTCTTCCAACATCAGAGTTGCAGGGGGGCTAAAGTGGCCCAGTTCAGTAAGTCAGACTAACAGGGATGACAGCTACAGTGGGACAAATCCTGATCCTGTGGACAAAAATTAGTGAGTTCATTTCGTAATGCCACAAGCTGTGGCTACGTAAGCCTATGTGTCACTATCTGGCACCAATTATGGCCAGCCAAATCTGCTCTTCCTTTCCATCCATCTCAAAAGCCTGTGAGGCGCTCAGAGTTTTGTAGCACACAGGGGACTTCACAAATGTTCCGTTTCCTTACATTTGCCAAGACTTTGGTTTCAAAAGCAAACAAGTTATATGCATATTAGATGAGATTTAATAGCTAATTAAAGCATCAAACGGTACGATTGCTACATCTGTGTCCTCTTTCAATATTGTCGTGGCTCCAGATACATGAGCCATGACATCATCAAAATGGTTGGATTTTCTCATGAAAACGTTTCCAGGATTCTGCATTTGGATTGTCTTGGCAGAAGTGAGTTTCAACTGCAGACTGGCAGTCAAGTGAAACCCTTTAGTTTTATTGTTTGTTTTTAAGTTTAAATGGTAAATGGCCTGTATTTGTATAGCGCTTTGCTCAGTCCTTGTTGGCCCGAAAGCACTTTACACTACATTCAGTCATCCACCCATTCACACACACATTCACACACTGGTGATGGCAGCTACATTGTAGCCACAGCCACCCTGGGGCGCACTGACAGAGGCGAGGCTGCCGGACACTGGCGCCACCGGGCCCTCTGTCCACCACTAGTAGGCAACGGGTGAAGTGTCTTGCCCAAGGACACAACGACCGAGACTGTCCAAGCCAGGGCTCGAACCGGCAACCTTCCGATTACAAGGCGAACTCCCAACTCTTGAGCCACGATCGTTTAAGCCTTGGGAAGGACCTGAAAGGAAAATCATTTTTGCTTACTTGGAGCCCTTTGTTGAAAACAACTTCTCCCACATGGTTTGCCAGCATTCTCAGCACAATTGCGCCCTAACAAAGTGAACACAGATTACATGTTCCTGTTAGTAGAAAACACACGGTGGCAAATTGTGTATTAACAGCTTTGACTAGCTACCTTGCTGTAGCTGATCGAATCAAACATTCCAAGGATGTGATCTGTCGTATTGATCTCTTTTGATGCAGGACTGAGAGGATGGGATGAGGCCAAAGCATCCTCTCTAAACGCATCGTGGAGATCATTCATGATAGATATTTCTTTCTGTAGAAAACAAACATGGACGAGACTGTAAGCTTAAACAATTTTGCCTGAGCATTTAGCAGAACTCCAGAGATATTGCAAGGCTGGACTTACTATATTGAACGTAGGCTCCACACTGTCCACAGCAATGTAAGATAGGTAGGTAGCAATGCCCTCATTCAGCCAAAGGTCGTTCCACCATTTCATTGTCACCTCATTTCCAAACCACTGCCAACAAAATAAAAATAAATCATTGCACAGGAAAGGTTGCATTGCTATTCCATATTGTTGTAAAAGTTGTAATAAACTTAAAAACAACTTCCTTAATCCAACACTGTGTTTCTTATCATGTGAAAATGTTGAATGATCTTTACTTTTGCTGCTAAAACCATATGTTTTGCTACTCCTGTCTGTGGTCTTAACAGGAAAATGACTCAGAGGACTGAAATCAGATGCTTTATTCGTTTTACTGCTCTCTAACCTGGTGTGCCAGTTCATGTGCAATGACAGTGGCAATATCTTCCTTGTGCAACAGGGAGGAGACTCCTTCCTGATAGAGCAGGAATCCTTCCTGGTATGTGATCAGTCCCCAGTTTTCCATCGCAGCAGGGTATAAGTCTGGCAGTGCAAGCTGGTCTAAGGAGATCACAAAGAAATGGACACAATTCTGTTCAAATCAGTTCAGTTCAGTTCAGTTCGGTCTATATAGCACCAATTCACAACAACATAATTTAAGGTGCTTCATATCAGAGCATAAAGACCCTTCAGTATTAAAAACCAGATTATCCCCAGTGAGACATGTATGAGCTACTCAATACAGTATTTTGATTAAGCAGTAAGTGATGCATCTAAAAATCAAAAACAGTACTTGTGAGCCATAAAATGTGGATAACAAGTCAAAGTGTGGGTTCAACACATTTGATTCATGGGAGTTTATATCCACAATAAAAGCAACATACTGAACAAAGACCATTTTGTGCGGGTGACCCCAAAAGTGAGCTGATAAAAGAAGAAGACTGAAATGTAAGTAGGTATAGTTTGGGAAGAGAGGCGCCTGGACTTCTTTAAGTTTCTTGAAGACGTTTCACCTCTCATCCGAGAAGTCCAGACACCTTTCTTTCCAAGCTGCTTAGACTAAAATGACCTGGATGACTGAGACCCTTCACAGATGTAAGTAGGTATAGTTTACCTATTTTTTCCATTGAATATTTCATTTCAAATTGGCTTTCGTAGAATCGAAGGAGCTTTCTGGCAATGTCACCGGCATAATCAGCGTGTCCTGCATTGATGGCTTCAGGACGAGCATACGTCTGCACAAGCAAAACACAGAAATGGCACTGAGTGGTAAAAATAGTAAAACCTCACTGGCTACTAGCCCCGTTTTGCTGACTTTCAAAGTGTACTGGCAAAAACAAAAACATCAATAACACTGCATCAGATTCATCCAGCAGGACATGTAGCCTACATTTATCTCCACGCGATCAGTATCAGAGCTTGGAGAGGTGATGGATTTGAAGCTGTCGTCGACCACTGCGAAGGCGAATAAGTAGGTGGACATCTTTGGTGTTGCTCTAAAGATAGTGTATTGCCATTCGTCATCTAAAATGTTGCTTTCTGAAAGAAGGGAGACAAGGAAATACATAATGAGGACATCTTTTACTCCTATTGTTAAAGTTAATGTTTGACTCCTCAGCAGGTGACCTATATCGCGTATTGACACAGGAACTTGTTTTTACCATAAGGGGCTGCATTTCCCAGAGCTCTGGTTTCTCGCCTGTGGATGATGGTCAATTTAAACACAGCCTTCATGTCTGGCTCATCGAAACAAGGAAACACTTTCCTGGCATCTGTTGGCTGCAGATTGGTGGCAGCAATGAATCTAAGCATACAGGGAATAGAGAGCGAGAGAGTGTTCAGGTCTCTTTTAATTGGATCAAAATGTCCCAACATATTTTTTATCATCGCTAACAGCTTTTACTGGTCTTTAACTATGATGTTGCTGCACTTTTTTGACTAATTTGTTACATTAATTGCAAGTGAATCATCTTGTGGCCATATTGTACCATTTAAAGAATGCACAATAACTTGTTAAAAACATTAATGAGTGAGAAATGGAAAAGACAGAGTGTAGCTGTTAACAACAACTGAGAAAAAGATATGTGTGTAACTATCTCAAGGTGTTCAATGTATAGGTGTTCATGTATGTTGGGTTTGGTTTGGTTAGGTTTTGGATGTGCCTGATTCTCACAAATTCATATGAGTATGAATGTGTAAAAACAAAAAGATGTGAGAGAGTTGTGAGCAGTACTCTTGTAAAAAAGAAAAAAGAAAAAGACGAAAGGATACATGAAGTACAAGTGTAGCGGTTGAAAAGTTGAGGTCCCCACCTGAACGGGCTGGTTACATGTATTAAATTATTGTCTTCACTGTAGAATAGTGCGTGATCAGAGGTTGTAAATGTGTAAACATATAAGTGTACAACTCTTTAAGTTCAATGTGAGACACCATATCCAAGAATCAAAAACTGAGAAGACAGAAAAACAATAAGCTACTTTTTTATTTTAAAAACTTCTTTGCTGCTTTATAGCTTCTTTTATTTTTAGAGTTTAATTTGACTTTTTTCCTCCCCTACATTTATTTGAAGCTACTGGTCTTTAGATTAAGATGCTATTGAAAAAAGATCTTTGGGATTATATTTATAAAAATCGTGAGCGTATTGCAGAATGATTGCTTTTACTTTGATACTGTTGCAAATTTTGCCTGTGTACTTCTTTTTACGGCACATTTTAAAGCCAGGACTTTTACTTGTAACTAAATACTTATTACACCACTGCAGGTGCAAGCACACATGTAACCAATCAGTGATGTTACCCTAGCGACGTGTTGTAAAAAACATTGATTATGAATGGATTATTTTACTATTATTATTACAGGTTTTTTCATTCTGAAAGATATTGTTTGTCCTTTCTGTTGGATACTTACTGGTTCCAGCTTAACTACATTTTGATTAGGCCTCATCTTAAGCTGTGTAAATCAGTTGAGCCAACTCAGTTTTATCAAAAGACAAAAATGTCCTGGCCACAGTTTCTGTAACTTTAATGCCAAAGTTCCACTGTGAATTATTTTTTATGGGTTTGTGCAACATCTAGGATAAGGGTACGATGAACAGTCAGTTTGGGTTATTGTTTTACATGTCAGATTAAAACTGACACAAAGAACTGCACGTCAGTGGAAAATAAATAGTGATTTGAAAAAATGTGGGATGCATCATTGTTATATTAGAAAATGACTTTGTGTTTGAGCTATCACTGTGTTTAGTCATCCAGATGACTCACTGTTTCTAAAAAACACTCAAGTTGAGAAATTAATTCACTGTGGAAACTTGAACATCTGTAACCTGATGGAATATTATTATGGCTTATTATGAATTATTACTGTTATTATGGCTGAGTGATAAAGTTTGTAAGCTTGTATAGATATTTTTTTCTCTCCTTTATATTAAAAGGGAATTACACTTTGAACAATGCTAAAAATCAAAAATAAGGCTTATATATTTACTTATTTAATCATTTAATATTTGGAGTTGCATCTTCTTGAAATATCGATTTAAGAAATTATTTAATTATGTATTTTTCTTAATATAACTTTGACTTTTTTCAGTTTGTATTTAGCATCCGGCCTTTATGTCATTTTCCTTGAAACCTTTCCAAATATTTTTCCCTTAATAGTTTTCTTATAAAAAAAACAAACACTTAAATTTTGTATTTATTTTTCACTCCAGAAAAAATTGGAATCTTGAAATCCTAAAATTAGCATTAAATACAGAATACTTACATAACTTTCATAGATTTCAGATAAAAAAAAATTAAATATAGATTTAATTTAATATAGATTATTTTTCCAACTGGAATAAACACGACCACATTTCTTTCACTTTCTCAGAAACCCTCTAAGCTCTAATTGCCGATTATTGTACGGAATACCATAAACTTTAAAGTTGCAGTAATGAAAAGCTCTGAAATTGTTTTAGAAACTCCAAATTCAACAAATAATTAAATGTATTGATATATATTCTATACGCAGAGCTTTTATACGTACCTGTCCGCATTTGGATCATCTACACTTTCATAGTCAAAGATACCATCAGTATATCTGCTTAGATACAGTGCTTCCAGATTATCCGAGACTTCGCCGTGGAAAGACAAAAACAAAGAGTAGTTCCCTCCTGTCTCCAAGGGATCCATCAATTCGAGCTCGAGGAAGTCACTTTCATCATCGTGGTGTTTCATTCCAGACACTTTAATATTCCTTTTTGTATTTTCGTTCAACACCACCGGCGAGGACACGTTCAGGTATCTGCTGTTGAGAAAGATGCTCATCGTCTTTTGGGCACATTGAAAGTGGACAGTCGAGTTTCCCGTGAAGATCATGGTCTGGTTCGGAGTGGTGATGTTGGGATTGGAGCCGTTCCCCTCCTCTATGATTTTAGTGTAGAGGTGAACTGCGAGTACAATATCGTACTTCTGAGGTACCAAGCTCTTCGGCAGCCGCATGTTTGGCGGTGGGGCCATGGTGGTGGGTGGCAGGGTTGGAGGTGGCGTCATGGTAATGTTTTGGGTCTGAGCCTTGAACAGAATAATCATGGTGAACATGCCGCCGATGGAAGAGACGGTCAGAACACCAAAGGCGATGGCGATAGCCTTCGACGTTCCAAACTTCAGTGGCATTGTAGCTGCTTCTTTTGGTCTGTCCTGCTGCTTGCCTGGTAGAGATGATTCCCTGAGTCAGTCTGCCTCTGGTCTGTGCTGTCTGATCTGTTCACAGGCATGTAACCTCCCTCCAATAAACAGGGCTTGGCCTTAGCAATTAAGGGTCTGTACTTGGATTAAGCATTAACTTTGACACTGCCAAAGGAGCAAAGAGTACACATTGCAGTGTGAAGAGGGCGATGTTCACTGTAAATAATCAGTCAGATTGTGTTCCCAAACATCTGGAGGTGGTTACTGCGGTCATGCCACTAATGCTGGGGTTAGGTAAACCGCAAGTCCTCACACTGCACTCTCCTACCCCATCCCACACTTCCTCACATTCCCTTTCTGTGAACACTCCTCAAACCATCACAATCACACACAAACACCCCCGGGCACAACAAAATCCTCAGTGGGGAACACATCCAGCATCGCCGCTTTTGATTGTAAGAGGTGTTCAAAGTTTCAAAATGCAGCTGTTCTTCCTTAAATTTCTGCAAGCAAGTCTCTGCAGCAGGAGGGGTCCAAGGGTTCTTATCTAAACAGAGACCATGCAAGTCTCTCCACCAAGACGGTATATAAAGAGAGGACTGCTGAGTGGGCTGAATAAAACAGAAGAAAAAAAGAGGAGGAGAACATAGACCGTAGTGATTGGTACATCACTAAACTTCCTGGAAAGCTCCAACCGCGGGTAACGACGACCACCGTGACCACTGTGCACATATTCTTCATCTCAGGAGAGGAAAGAGGAGGGAGACTAATAGGCAAAATGGGAATAATGCAGGAAAAGAGGGCCGGAGTTGGAAGTGTTGCTGGTTATTTGTACTGAGAACAGATGTTGCTGTTGGAGGGTCAAGGTGGTCAAATCATCCTGAGCATATTGATAACACTGGAGACCAACCATCAGCGCCCTGAGGCCAAAGTCAGGTGGATGAGCAGCTGAGGCAGCAAGGCCACATTCCTGTTCACATTAAAACTACATCAACATCGGATACCAAAGCAAATAAAGACCCCAGCAACAATAAAACAAGTAAACCCAAAAACTCAACTGTCATTTTTATTATGTGAGACAAGTGAACCAGATGTTATAACATCTGCCTGAATGTCACAGGTTTCTGCTCTTACGTTCAAGATTTACTCCTTAGAAAGGAAGAGGTAGGTCATCAGTTTCATAATGCATTTAATTTGGATTGATGCGTGCAAGCGAGGCAGCAACAGGAACTTTCACGTGTCAATACAGAGCACAACTCTTTTGGAAGAAATCTGTGAAATGTCAACCAGATTTCTCACTACAAGCACTCTCGCGTATATACACACACATTCTCTCAAGGATATTTGGTTTAAAAAAAACAAGCTTTAATTAAATTACCAAGATTTTTGCACTCATAAACGCTCTGAAGGCCCAATCCATCACACAGCTGGGGTTAGGTCTAACTCTAATTCTGTAGTATCTGGAGAGAGAAAAAGGCACGTTATAGGTGGAAAATACATCATTTTATGCGTGTTACAACTTACAACGACTAAATTGTAACAAAAATTCTGATAACCACAGGGTAAGAGCTGCTGATGGTCTTAAAGAGTTATGTAGAAGGAAAAATGTAAAAATCATCTGCTTCAGTCTCATAAGCAGCTACAAAGACCTTTCTTACTTTTACTCTGCATTTGTCCAGTTGAAACACATTCAGATTATAACTGCAACTTGGATCTAAATCAGACCGTGTTACAGGTAATCAAGGCAAAATCTTGGTAATTTTACATTGTTCAGGAGCATTTTCTTTCAGCCATTAAAAACAAAAAAACAAAACAAAAAAACAGGAGCCCATCAGGTAAACCACCAGTTACACCAGTGCAGGCTTAAACAGGGCAAATCTTTGATAATAAGGACCTCTGCTGACAAGAAGGGTAACTGCAAGTGCATTAACTCGACTGTCTCTGCTGTCACAAGCAGACAAATGAAGCTGAAAACAAAACAAACAAACAAAAAAAAAACCCAGCTGGAATTTGACTTGAAATAATCAGCCTTTTGTGACAGCAAAGGAAATGTGCAAAAAGTTTCGAGACATCAGAAGCTGACTAATTTTAAAGACGGGCAGGTTAAAGTTTGCTGAAACTCATTAGCTCCCTCTTCAGACAAACACATTTACATGATGCACATCAACAATAAACCTGCCCACAGAGGGGGCACTCGAGATTAAAATAATGTGGCCCAGCACTGGAATGAACTGTTTCTGCATTCCGGGCAGCCTGTGATCGGAATTACACCAGCTTAACGAAAGCAATCAGCAGCCGAGTCAGAGCAGTCACACCGAAACAGCTGATGGTCTTCAGCTGCTTTTTTAGGAAGAAGAGCTTCACGTTGGCATTTTTGGTCCTGCACCACGTCTCCCACACACTCTTACCCATTTACTGCATTCATACACGGATCTCATGTGTTCATCTGTGCAATTCTCTAGCAAAAGACTCGATGCGTCTTCCGTTTGAGTTAGTAATCGACGCTAATAAATACAACCGAATTCAAGGAACGACTGAGTACAAAATACAGTACAATAACCATCTGCTTTCTACAGTGGAGGAAATATGCTGGTAATCTGATGCTGAGAATAAAGGCAAAGTAATGTACAAACTCTTTAAAATAAAATTTAAAGAAAAATAGAATAAAAAAAATCAATATATATATATAATATATATATATATATATAATATATATATATATATGTGTGTGTACATATACACACACACACACACATATACAACACACACACACATACATACACACACACACACACACATACATACATATACACAATACAAATAAAAACTGCAATTTTTTAGCTGTAAAATTACATTTTGATATATTAAGAAGAGCCACAATATTTCTGGGATTGAAACCAAGCCTATTCTGGATTTATACTGAGGAGCGAGAGAATAGTTTTAGAGTAAGATCTGCACATGTAATGTTCATAGAATAGAGCTAAAATATTTTCATGAGGGAGAAAGTGTCTTTCCCAGTCAAAAGTTAATAATTTCAGAATGAAGCAGTCATACTTTAAGACTTTACCAGAGTCAATATTTTCTTACCTTCATTTCTTTGAATTTAGTGCTGACACCTTTCCCCCCATATTGATTTCTATTTCTTAAGAATAAAATTTATAAATAAATCTAAAACATTTTGCCTTTATTCTCTAATCGTCACCAGTACACGCTGTCTTCTGGTATTGGGCCTCATTGCACACATCTCATGGTGTAGTTGTAGCTACAATGTATGCTTGTGGGCGTTACAAATGTTTCCAGCAGATTTTCAATCACAGAATTAACATTAAGCTTTGAGAAAACTGGACAAAATTAAGAAAGCTGTGTTGTGGGTGATTGCCTTGTCAGGATTTGGACAGCGTTTCCAACTGGAACAGCAGCTTTCTGTTAAAGAGTTGGAAACTACTTTTCTATCAAATCTCAGCTTTTATCTGCTTCTGTCAGCAACAAGTTTGTTATTCTGAGTCTTCAGTTCTTTTAAACAATAATAATAATAAAAATGCGACGTAAAACCAATATTTAGCTCCTTTGTAAGAACTTCATGTAATGTCATGCGTTTGACTACCACAGCCAGCTGTCTAGATGCTGAACACAGTAGCAGGACTGTTCCAGGATAGCAGTCAGCTCTCCGTAATTTTTCTCTCTCCATGTAGGGAGGAGCCTCTCGTTGTTTAGAGCCTGAAGCCTCGGCGTCCCCTCCCGGAGGACGTGGTACAGGCAGGGCCAGCGGCTCTGGATGCGCGTCCTGGTCCTGCGGTCCAGCGTGACACGCAGGACAATCTTCTTGGCTCGAAGTTCACGCAGGGCTGGCAGCTTAAGGCAGGAGAAGACCAAGCCTCGGCTCGGAGACACGTCCAAAAACTCCAGAGACTGAGACTCCAGGGTGTAGGAGATGCCGAGGTTCCTCAGCGGCACCAAGATGTTTAATGTCAGAGACTTGAGGTTAGGCAGGGATTTGATGAGCATCTGCAGCGTTGAGGGAGTCACGCATTTAAAGACCCAGAAGTATTTGAGCTCGAGGACTCGGAGCTGCTGGAACTGCGTGAGCAACGACACGGACAAATCCGACCAGTCAAAATGTAGGCGCATCTTGGAGATGCGTGGGCAGTTCTGGGTCAGCTTGCTCAGCAGCTCCTGAAAGCGGGTCACCTGACAAATCAAAGACAAAAGAAAAGAAAACAAGTGACACATTAGCGTTGCCGGTCATGGATGCTTGCATTCATATTTGCCTCACTTGCAGGTGGAACTTGAACCAGTTATGCAAAATGAGTTAGCCGGTGCTGTCCAGGCTTCTCAGAAAACACCTCTACTCCTTCTGTTCCTCTTACGATAGGGTTTAAATCTACCTCTCCCTATGGATTCATACTCACTCACTATGAAAAACATGTAAAAGTGGACTGGTACTCCAAATGTAAAACATATCTTCGTCTCAGTGTTGCACCATGTGGGACAGCAGATGCTATATTTGAGCTTCAGACCTTAAAAGGCTTCAAAACCATCTGAATACTGATGTCATCACACCCTTTATAAAAAATTCAAGCATAAATTGAAACTGAGTAAAAATCTTTAAGAAAATAAAACATCTACAGTTACACGGACCGCACGATACACAACATAAGAATGCATTAATCCTATAACAGCTGCAAAGCGGTTAAAGGTGCTGGGTGTTAATCTGAGCTGCAAGAAGGAATGTGGGGGGATTACACTGTTTGTAGTTTAATCCCGGACACGTTACTGTGGAGGAATGTTTCTGTTACCTGGATTATTCATCTGCTTGTCGTGAAATGCATCCAAACTTGCTGCTGTTTTAGGTCATTTTGAATCAACACATTGGTTGGATTCCTTCATCAGCTAACGCAGAGCTCATCCAAACGGCTGCAGCCATCACGAACAATTATGGACAAATAACCTACGTGCTTCTGACTCTGTTTTATTGCCTGCTACTTTTCGCTAATGTAGATAATAAAGAAACCCCCCCAAACCCTCAATAAGACTGTATGATGCGCTACGATCATGAGGACTCAGGTACAGGGAACCACCTCTTTTCTACCTTCTAGTATAAATCTAATGAACGACTGTGGTGACATGAGGTGTGTAGCTTGTACGCTGTGATGCTCTGACTCTTGGTGAAATTGCAGCTGTTGTTGATGCATGTATCGTCTGAATATGATGTCTTTTTTGTTCACCTGACAGTTGCCACAAATAGAATTTCCAAAAAAGACAATAAACACTAACTGAAGCACCCTCTGCATCACTTACTGGACTGGCTCCTTATTGCATCACATTTAGGTTTTTTTATTTATTTTTTAAAATGTAATTTGTCTCCTTTTTTCCATCTTTATGGTTTTGTATTTATTTTGCCGAGTTAGGATGTTTTCCATATTTTAATGATAAAAACTGAACAAACTTTAAAAAGGCACAAAGATAATGGCCTCGCTTGGGGAAAAATTGACTAAAATGAACACTCAGTAAATGGGCGTCGACACAGGAACTACCTTATCACATATCAATCAGCAGATTCCTGTGCTCTAATTAGTAGTCGCCTTGAAGTTGATCCTTGTTGAAGTTATTTCATCCACTGAGGCCTGAAATCGCTGAATATCACTAACTTTCTACGTCAAAAAACACTGCAAACTTCAGTAGAAACCGCAAAATAGGCAAAGCTGTTTGGGGACCCATTTAGAGCCACGTGAAAAGATTTGACTTATGCAGAGTTAACAGAAATATTTATCTGTTATAGACCATGTAGTTATTTGTTTAAGTCAGATGGGATTCTGTGGATTTTTAGGTGGGATGTGCACTGACATGTACAATAGGAGGAGCTGTTTTGGGGCATTTACTTGTTTCCTGTTTCAGGATGGCCTCTGTTAAAATTTGATTGCTAAAAATAAGGACTTCATGCTCTCCTGTACATCATATAATCGTGGGTTTGTGCTCAGACCTCCAGAGAGCAACAATATGCCTGATTCTTTTTCTCTTTTATTCTACAGCACAAAAAAGCACAAAATAAAGAAAAACTGACTACTCATACCTGATATACTGTTTGCTTTCTAGCTTGATATAAAGAAAACTTATTTCTTTCTACCTGAACTAATGTCTAAGGTGGCAGTTCTTAGAAAATAAAACCAGTAGAAACAAATTACCTTGTCCATTTTGGTAATGTTATCCTGGTGGGAACTGGGGCTGGAGTGGACCCTGAGGTCGAGCGGCTCTAAAAGAGTAAAAGTCCAGTTAAGGTCGAGGTGGCTGAGGTCTCTGCAGTGGACATTGTCCAGTAGGTGGCTCAGCAGCTCGCCCCACTTGTTGCAGCGATCCCCCAGGTCGAAGCTGGCCCTCAGCGTGAGCAGGCTGGCCCGGCGGGAGATGAGGTGGTAGGTGTAGTGCTGGACCCAGGATTTCCACCTCTCGAACTCCCGGTTGGAAACGAGCAACCCCTCCTGACCGAGGTGGAAACCAACACGACGGGAGTAGTCGGCCACCCGCCACAGCTTCCACGAGCGGACGAGGCAGCTCCAGCTCGCGCAAACCAGGGCGCAGCTACACTTATCCACCTCGTTCAGAAAGGACAGGACGTGCAGCTGGCACTCCACCGGCAGCAAGTTGAAGGGGAAATAGTCGTCCGCTGCTTTCCGCCGGCTGCTTACCGGGACGAGGGTTCTTTTTCGTGGGGACATGATGAACGGTGAAGAAATAATATTCGTGGTCATTGGTGGGGGTCAGAATCTCCACCAGTTGGTTTTGGAGTCAGACTTTGCCATAAACATTGTTGCATCAGTGCCTTCAAGATAAAAACATGAAGCAGAAACAAATAAGATTTTTTTTCAAAGTTGCTGATGATAACGTGGAATAAAATAATCTCTGCAGGAGCCAGTGTGTGTGATTTTTATACTAAACTATGTGTCTTGTACGCATCGTTTATCCTCATCATCAATATTCATGTTTATATTCTCGCTGAATTCCTTAAATTCAGAGTGTTAGTAAGAGTTTTTACATTTAACATCATGGAAACGTCCTCAGCTACAGTCTTTGCCAGTCTGGTAAAACTTAACAACGCGGCCTGCCTGATGATGGTTTGTGGAGCTGTTTACTGAACCTTAGTATTCCTGAAAGACTGTGGCTTAACTGCCTTCACCAAGTACGTGAATACCTTCGCTGATTTTCCTAAATCTCACCCATAAATCTGCCGTGGCCTCCCTTGGACAGAACAGATTCTAAAGCCTTCTCAGTGTTACAGAATCTTATGGACAACGTAGATTAAGACCTTAAGCACCTTCTCTTTGTTTTCTCTGGTCAATGCCCACAATTTTTTTTAATGTAACTGAAAACAGTTTTATGACACTCGCTGGAGTTCATGAGCATGAAACAAGCTGCTCGAGGCCTCAGTCACCCAGGGCTACAGACCAATAAGTGACCCAGCTGGCAACCACCAAATGGTAAAGGAAAAAAGTAGCCAGTGGTACCCCTCAGCCTGCTAGTAGATATGAATTGAATAATCCTAAGTGACTTCCATCTCAAGTTATCGCATTCTCAAGATAGTCAGAAAAATTGACCTCTGACCCCTGACTTTGAGGCCGATGTCACTAAGATTCAAACTCATCTGTTTTTACTAGATACACACATGGTATCAATTTGAAAGTC